TGTAAAAAAGGTCTGTGAATTTGCACGTGTGTGTGATACAGCAATAATGTTATTTATTTTTAACAAATACATCATTTTATTATTTTCTAGAGCTCCCCTTGGAATTGATATTTCAAAAAGAGTTGAAGAAGATTCCATCAAGGTCCCAAAACTTAAAAAAGATATGATGGTTAGTATCTTAAAAAGTAACTTAGTAAAGTAAATGCAACTATAAATTGTTCAATAAAAACTTTCAATGCTGTTGCATTTACTGACAGTACTTAGTTTACAAGTGTTGAAAATCACCTCAGAGAAATAAATGCTGTGTCGTACCACCAAAATTATTCCAGTTACTGTTCCACAACTGTCTTGAGTTCTAGGTATTAGAACAATAAAAAAAAATTAAAAGTGTACTTTCTAATAAATATAAACTTATGCAAATGAAAATATATCCATTATTTAGCCTTTATAACTTATTATAAATATAGAAACCTGATTATATATGCCATATTATAATTTAACAATATAATTCATATAAGGTTTAGAATTTACACTACACGTTAAAAAAAATTCATACCTTCCATGCTTGAAAAGTTACAGAAAGTAAACACAAGAGCGCACAGATTTTCAAGATCTCAACGTGTTAGCTGTGCCAGTACAACTGAATTTCAACAGTACCTAGTTTTCTGCTACTTGTGTGAGAAGCCTACTCTTACTTATACAAAATTAAAATTTTGGGGTATAGGGCTAGTGCCTTTTAATTTTCTGCTTTTTTTTTTTTAATAAGCAGGTCAATAAAGCTAATCACAGTGTAAGTAAGTGAGCTATTAAGATGCAAATTCTGAGTTTTGATGTGAATAATGGGTTATTTGACCTTGCCTTTTGATAATTAGACATTATTATTCATTGCAGTGGTATTTACTGGAATAAACACTTCAAGTATTAAGTACCTCTTCGATAGCAGTTTTCTAGTTCATAATGTGTATGTTTAAAATTGCCTCCATTTAAATACAAACAAGTAATTGGGATTTGTGGGACAGTTATAAGCAGACGAGTAAGTTGCCTGCTTTTTAAATTTTTTTCAACTCAAGGGCAAGATGTAACAAATTAGCAAGGTACGTGCATTATTTTTTCTCCCAGTAAATTTTTGTAAGAACTTTTAAGATCCCTCATTGAACAGAAAGCATTGGAACAGTACATAGTATTTACATTTTATTACATAGTATTTCTGGAGTCTCATTTTCATGGGATTTCAACTACAAGTAATCTATCTTCTAGTAAAGTAATTTATATCATTAAGTAGTTTTATCTTCTTGGTAAAGTAATACATCATTTAATAAATTTAACTATCACATTTCATATGCCCTATCCAGCAGTATGTTTATACATCTGTCTGATTCCAACATAGGTGAAAGACTGGAATTTGTGAATATAACAGTGAGCAAAACCTTTTTTCCCTCCATATCATAACTGATCTGTCTGTTATCCCAGTTTTTAGTGCTGGTCCTACCATACTTGGGACCAACAAGCCAGTCAGTCTTGCTGCTCAGAAGTCTCTCCCTGCTTCCAAACTTTCTGAACACAGAGGAGGAAGAAATCCCTATATAGCTGTGTTCTGAGATGATAGAGTAAATGCTGATAAAATCCAATACATATATCCCCTCAGGGTCACAGCCTTATGAACTGGAGGTAGAGTGGTTCCAGTATATCCCAGGCCTCCCAAAACTACTGTTGTTTGGACCAGAGAGCTTGATTCTAACACCACAGAAACTTTCTTGTGTGATACTACACACAAGTTAATGGGTCACTATTATGTTTATCTCAATTAAGTGGGAGTTTATAGAGAAAAGACGATTTTTTTTTTAAATTGAAAAAAATACTTAAAAGCTCTTCCAAAACAAGTAAATGGGAACAATGCCCCAAGTCATTCTATTAAAGACTTTTTGAAATATTTAAATGGAGATGTCTTGTAACAAGGGATTAGAAATGCTATCATGACAATTTCCTGGCCGATCTCAGTAAATGAAATAAAACAGATTACACCATTGGTTCAAAATCTGTGCTCAATGAGTAGTTACTAATGGCCTTTTGATGAACTGTGATTATGGAGCACACAAGGTCTTGAAAGGTTTGCTTCAATGTCTCATTCTGTACATTTATTTTAAACTGTGGTTGAAAATTGAAAGCACAAAAGGAAGTGGTGAAATTGCGGCTTATACTGTTTTGAAAGGAACTGCTAACACTTATGAATGCCTACTTCGAAATACAAGGATCTTTGGTTTTAAAAAAAAAATAAAATTCAGTAGACTAGACTAGTACACTTAAACAAATACAATACACCAACTAGGAATAATGAGATAGATTTGTAGGACTGTAATGGAATCAAATCTAATATGAATCAACAATACAATGCTAAGAGAGTCTTTATTTATACTTGGTCTTTATTATAGGAATAACACATAAGAGAAAAATACAGGGCTGGGTTTTTCTGCTGCAGTCACAGGCTAACTAAAACAATGAAGGTGATAATACGGAAGAACTCTCAGTTTATTAAAATGTGTCATAAAACCAGTGTTCAGTTGCTCTTCATTGCAGGAAGGATTAAAGTATTTAGCTTAATTTGCAGAAAATGCTTAAAAAACTATTAGGAAAAGCTTTCTATTTTAAAGGAAGGGAAGTAATGGAGTATGTTACCTATTGAAACAGGTTCCTCAATCACTGCATGTTACGTATTAAAATAACATCAACACCTAACTGCTTACATCAGTAAAATGACCAATAGAATTGCAGCTTCAGAAGCCTTACCAGTGATCGGCAAACGTGGAAGCTGAAGTACAATTTTGATTTCATGTTTAATAGTGCTTTGCCTCTTTATACAGATCATTTGCACGCATCACAGCAAATTAAACCAATGTCTACTGAGAAGCATCCCTCAGGGAATAGTTTAAAACTTCTCAGGTGAATCTGTTTTGATCATTCTTCAGACTGCTATTGTGCCATCCAGAAATGCCACCTAAAGGCTATGCTGCTTTTAGGGCAATGCTGTCCTTACAATTAAGGTATCTTGTGCCAGCTTGTACAGTTCAGTATTAGCAACAAATATTCTTACAGCATAGTCACTTGAGAATTAAGTACTGAACTCTGTATTGGCCTGGTCTATAAGAACTACGTAGATAATCAAGCAACAATGTAAATCTAGACAAACTTGTTAACTCCTGGAGCAAGCATGTTCTTTCCTTATCTCTGATGCTAATTTTAACCAAGTACAATATTCTTTTATAGTTTATTAGCTGTAAAGACATACAGATGCATCCATTCCAAGACAGACAGCAAACTAGAATCATGATCTCTAATGAAATATTCTTTACTGACAGAGTACCAACATGAAAATCAGTTCCCCCATGGACATAAAAATACTCATTCTGTGCATCTTGAAAATGCTGACGTTTGAAATTTGGTCCAAAAAACCCACACAGAGGTAGTTCTCTTTCAGTTTTAACTCCACAAGAAAAAAAAAAAAAAAAAAGTGGGTTTTTTTTTTCTTTAGAAGTAGCAACACAACAATAGCTTAAAACACTAAAGTTATTTTAGTACTTAATATATAAAAGATATAAATATATTATCATTTAAACATAAAAAATCTACAAAATATATCTGGATGATATAAAAATATCAATGTCAAATTTGAATTTTAAAAATCAGTAAATTTACAGTTTTCTTACTCGAATATGGCTGAAGATGTTTACTAAATTTGGGATTTCCATCTTCTTTTTAAACCCCAGTAAAAATGGAATCAGAGGTCATTATCTTGAGGTACTCTATATTCCTGCAGATAGCTATGATTTTTTCCAATTGTTTCTTCAGAAGCTTTTGCTGAAGAGCTAACCTCTGCTGCAGTCTGGTATGTTATTGTATCTTAATAGGTCTCTGTTGATCTTATCACATTGGTGAACCTATTCACTGCATCAAACCTAAATATATTTTCATGTAGCTCAACTTGTGTAGTGCCAAGTGTCAATTTAAATAGCATATTGCATAAAGATTTTTTTTTTCCACCTGTATTGTTTGGGTTGTAAGTTGGATCTTCATTCGTATTTTCATCATACGTTCCCTATAATCATGTTTAGTGGAAATATCAATTAGACCTGCAAAATAGGAATGAGTACAAAAATCTACAAGATCAAATGAAACGCTTCAGAACACTATCGTTGCCTGCCATAAAAATAGGTTTGTACCATCTAAATGTAAACATTATTAATTTTTAAAAATGTATTTGTCAGATGCACTTCACTGTTGCATCTCTAACCTGGAAGTACTTCTATTAATATGTTGGGAATTATTAGTTCTATGTAAGTTAGAAAGTCAAAAGATTCTTTAGTCTCTAACACCACCTTATTTATTATATAGCAAGGCAACTAATTTTAAATCTTAATTACATAGATATGACAAATAGTATAAATAAAACTATTTAAAATGTTGAGGGGGGAAGCATCTATCTTTAGAGATGTATTTTGAAGAATTCATAAGCCTGGAGCTCTTGTTATTCTTAGAGAGAGCTTCCAAGAACTGAAAACTTCTGAAAACCTGACCAATCACTTAATTATCACAGTGGAAGCTGAGCTCTTTTGGAAATGTGTTAATTTACAGTAATTCATATCAGCTTATAAATTTGCATGACAGCCAATGATCTATAGTTTTTCAAGTAATGATCCCAGCTTTTAGGAATGCCACGTATCAACTACATGCAATATTAGGTATTTTTTTAATAGGAATGTTTTTGTACTTACCTCCTGAACAATACTCAAAAAATATTTCCATCTGTTTGAGATTTCCCATCTGTATCAATGTTCATTTCAAAGCACCAAAACTCTGTAAGACACATTTCCCCGAGTATGCATGCCCCAAACTACTACCATGTAGTCAACACTGATCAAAATTAGTCCAATTTTTGTATCAGCTGGAGGAACCTGACAAGAAGTGCTGCAACAGTAATTTGCATCTGAACTGATGAAAGGTTTAAACAGCAAATTCCAAAATCTGATGGACTTCTTAATAATACAAGGGCATATCTGAATGCATCAGTGCTAGCAAAGTTGCTGTCTGGGTACGTGGGGTTTTTTAGCTGGCCCAGCAGCCTCTCACTGGGAAGCTCTACTGAGCACTTTATGTCATCTTTTGAAGCCAACCAACTAGAGGACACTGTACTAATTAATTCTTGCTACTTACTTCTGTCAGACTTCACAAACAAGGCACTAGCATTTTTCTGTGCTACAAAGTCTGACAAGCAGGTTGCCTCATCAGCTTATTCAGCTCTGGGGAACATCTGTCAAAGGTGAGCATTCTTCAAGAATATTCTCCAGTTTCTAAAATACAAAACTTAGAGAGGCTAACAAATAAAGAGAGAGAATATTATTTAATAAAGAACTGTACTAGTATTTGCAAGAAAAGAATAAATTTCTTAAGGACAAGATTAAAAGACAGTAACATTCCTGTAGGTTGCTCCAAAATGTTATAGAACGTGATTTCAATACATCACGTACTTTAATTTCTCCCCCCTATGGAACCAAACATTTGGTCAAGAAACTCTATAAATAATATTAAGTGTACTATAAATAACAACGATAAATTAATTTCTCAAGAATAACTGGATAAATGGAAAAATTTGCCAACACCAAATGATACGGTTTCTTTTTAAAACTACTACCTAAAATTATTTAGAAGCCTTCCAAAATTATTTCTCATCTTTCTCTAAATATGAGGCCTCAGTTTGGCAAATAAATTATTTGCCTGGGTACAAAAAGCACAACTTTTTGCTTAGGGTCCTAGGTGACACATAACTTCTAGAATCGCTCCAACACTACTACAGAGATAACAATGAGCAATAGTCACATTTCATCAGCCTAATGTTCCTCTTGGTCCAGTCTCCACCTGCTTTGGAGCATGATGTAAGAACTCTTGCAAACACCCCAGGGTAAGGTACTAGGGAGTCAGTTTTCCTCAGAGCACCAGTAAGAAATCTGCCAGCGCTTTGAAGCAGCCTGAAATTTAAGGTTTTTTAATAAGTATTTCTTCACAGACTTGACAAATTACTTTGAAAAATCTACTTACACCCCTAGAGATACTTTGTAGGAATAGATACATTATATTATGCTTTATATTATGCTTTATTCTGGTAGGATTTTTCCTTTCTCTACTTAATTGGACATACATAAAAACCAGAACTGTAAGGTAGCACGCTGAATACTAAGCTCCGACCTTACCAAAAACACTGGAGCATGCATCCACTTTTTCTTACATTAACTTTGCAATCCTTCCATACACAACTAGAAAGACAAGCTTCTCTTCAGAGGAATTCCATTCACATTTTTATTTAAACCCCATGATTGTATCCACATACTCACCCAGCCTGCCTTTTTTTTTTTTTTTTGGAGACCTTTATTTTGTTTTATTCAAAAGAGATCTTCCTTAAAGTAAACAATGGATGCTTTGCAATTTTAGAAGCAAAAGTAGCAGAGCTAAAGCTAAAGGACAGTCAGCAAGCTAGGGAGCCAATGAGGGATGAAGAACTGTCTGGAGGGAGTTTCCCAGTTTCTCTGGGAGCCGAGGGAGCCTGAGGCTGAGGACTACCAACCAACCAGCCCTGCAGAACTGGCCAAGGGCTGGGAGGCTGCACAGGATGGCCCCAAAGTACCCAGGGGGTGTGTGGGGTGTCCATTTCTCAAGTAATGAAAGGGCAAGCATGATGCTTGGAGGGCAGATCTCCAAGAGGCGACAAGGCCAGAGATCCTCAGCTCTTTTTGGCTCTGGCAACCCAGATCAGCTCCTCGCTGCACCCCCCCTTCTAAAACCATAACCTGAACCCTCTCCTAAAGCATAGCTGCAAGACCAGCTCTGTTCTACAACACAGGAAAATCTACTGTACTGAATTCAATATGCGTGACAGATTGGACAGATTCAATACGCTTTTTGTGACACTGATATTGATTAGGAAGGGTGGGAAAGCCGACCTTTGGCTATTCTCTCTTCCCCAGAGCCCAGTATTCCCTTCCCCACCGAGGATGAGTGAGCCTACATGTATTACTTTGATGATTAATAATGTGTAAAAAACCAGACCAAATATTCTAAAAAAACTCCAAAGATTTACTGAATTTACATACAGAATAAATGCAACATCTCAATATGTAGCTTTATAATTCATCTACTGAAAATAACTTCAGTCTGCTGCATGTGTCAGATGCTTTTTCACTGTTGCTCTCTAGTTTTGCAATCCGAGATCCAAACTGTACAGCCCTTTTTGGCAAAATAGTCGAGGCTGTAAGGCCAAACTCCTTAGCAGCAAGGCGCAGAATCAACTTCTCACCAATTCCTCGAGGTAAAGTCAAGTCAGCTTTTTCTGAGATGGGCAGAGAATTGAGGAATGAAACAACATCTTCATCAAGAAAAGGAAACCTGAAAGGAAGATATACATGGGGAAAGACCCTTTAAAAACCTCATACAAATAATCTTGGTTTTCCCCTTTACCACATGCAAAGACTTAAAAGTCTGTATCAATTCCTAACTATAGATGTACCTTAGATGTTAGTGTCACAGTACAGAGGCAAGTCCCCAAAGCAGTTACACTGTCTTGGAGAAAGGAAACATAATATATCCCGTTAAACTCATAAGCCTGAAAGTTTTCAAAAGTCAGGCAAAGAAAAGAGTGAGAACAAGCATCAGAAGTGTTGAGTTCATACAAAAGTTAAGAAAATCAGAAAATACAATGGAAGAGCAAGACAAATTTTAAAGTAACACTTCTCAAGATAACTTCTAAGTATTTAAAAATACTGTATGAAGCTACACTGTAATTTTGAAACAAAAATATTTACACAACAAATTCTGACAACATTCCAAATTCCAGGCGTTCATATCTAACCACATGCATGATTAGCAGCATTGCCTGTCCACCACTGCAACTGTTTTTTTGCTAAACTGAAAATGTGCAACTAAGAACAGGTTTGGAAAAACACTGGCTCAAAGATCACATGAAAAGACCTTTCATGCACCTGAGTGGCCTCCGCTACACCTAAAGAATTTTTTGCAAGTTGGTGGTAGCATGGAGGAAGTAAGCACAAATCAAATGATTCTTTAACTACTCTGACTTAACAACCAGGAAATGCAGTGGATATTGATCATGCCTTTACTGCATGGACAGGAATGCGTGGCTTCTATGTTATGTTGTCATTTTCCAAAAGTCACTCCCCAAATGACCACACCAGAACACTTCAAAGTTGCACAGATGACTGTTCCACTTAAAATCATAAAACCAACTTGATTTTGCCTATTTCAACATCTGTTGCTGCTTCTTAAAACTTCTAGATAGAAATCCAATGTTCAAGTTGCTAAATTTCCTTCAGTAACTCTTCCACAGTACTACAGACCACTTTTTAAAAAAACAAAAATCCCCACAACACAGTACACATAATGAAACTGCAACAGAACTTGAGACAGTAAAATGCATAGAAGTTTCAATTAAGCTTTCTGTTAGAGTGTTAAAATCCGAATCTAACTGGCAAAACCAGTTTTGCTTCATGTTAAAACAATAGTACCTGGCTTCTTTCCCATGATCACCAATAATCCTGTCATCTCTACCAAGATTTCTAGAAGAAATGCGATCTAAGTCCACTTCAAGTTCTTTATTCAGGCCTTCTAAGCCATATTTTTTGAAGCAAACACGATGTCGAGAATACCCAGCAAGCTGTTCATCTGCTCCAATTCCTGTAAGCACAACCTAAGAAAGCAGAATAAAAGAAATTTTTCTTAGTATCTATACAAGCTAATAATATGTAACAGATCCTATAGACATTTAACTACATTTTAAGGAGTATAACTTTAATACACATATTCTAAATACATTACCTATCATGATGGGATATGCCTTACACATTTACAGAGCCTGAAACAGTTCCAAATAAAGTCACTGGAAACTTGAAATAGGTTCACAATCAGACCTAAATTACAAACATTTCTACTGATGGAAGGAAGAAACACCAAAATAATGTATGCATCACAAATACACCAGTATCTTTGAAGAATGTCTTTGTTAGTTTCTGTTACAATAAACAGCATTTGTTAAACACCAGCCTTTATCAAAAAATTGTTGCCAAAGATCACGTGGTATGTTCTAAATAGTTATCTAAATGTACACCCAGATTACTATTCCTTTACCAGCTACTGGCTTAGTAACAACTGCATTACACAAAGTAAAAATGTCTCATATTGTTCTGTCTACGCAATAAGTACATAAAATGTTACGAAGAGAAAAAAACACTACTATATCTGGTCCATTACTGTGCCTTCAACAGCAATTCACTATAAAAGTGGAAGTCTCTTAACATAAATAGTCAAGTGTGTTTTACCACCAGTGTGTGCACTGGCTAGAGATCAACTAATTTTTTACCTGTGCACAGTAGTAAGTAACAGATGGGAAAATGACACTTTCGCTTTATGTTTTATTAACTCATGACTCATTTCAACATATTCTGGACCTAAGATGAATTTGTATGTTTCGCAAATCTGAGATGTACATCCTTAAGTAGATCAGTCAACTAAATCAACTGTGTTCTATAGTAGTAGTTTTTAAGCAAACTATTGCGTTTGTTGGAGGGGGTTTTTTTTGTGGTTTTAGGATCTAGCAATTAGTAGAAAAGTAACAGGAGCCTCAAAAAGCACAGGCAGCAGTGGACTGCAAACTCCTGAAACTAAATAGTGTATTCTTCCCTACACAACCCATCAGGAAATTGGGAAGCGAGAAGTAAGAATCAAATTCCCAAGAAAATCATCTAGTTAGTAAGAAGATTTTACTTAATACTACATACATCAAAATAAGTTACAAAAAAGGAAAGAATGACTTTTTTTAGTTCTGCCCTTCAATCATACTCTAATTACAAAAAATTCCAAGTGGTCATCTTTTCTGCCATTATTATTTGCTATTTTGTCACATAAGTAGCCTGCCTAAATAAGAAGCTAGTAATTTTACAAGGGATGGGATGCTGGCACAAAACAATACTACTTAATAATTCATTAACATTTATCTCTAAATTTGTTAACCTATTCAGTTTGGACTGAATAGCTGTTACCCACTACTGGAGTTCAAACACCAAAAATGCTAGATGATGGTTATTATTTTTTTCCTAGTCATATTGTTGCTTATTCAAGCTCAATGAAAAGCCATACACATTACATGACAAAATAACTGAATGCAGTTTTTAACTCCAGAATTAAACAAAGATTATAATTACAGAATATTCTACATTCTGCCACTGAATTTCAGAAGCCTTGTGAGTATTAAAGAACCCTGCTGATTTCTGAAACAGAACTGGTTTTACATTCACAGGTCAAACATAAGGCAGAAAACAATAAAATCAGTACCTTTGCAGGACTTTTATATGGTTTCAGTTCTCCTTGGTTACTAATAAAACCCTCCCCTCTGGAAGCAAACCAAAGTGCACAGCCAATGCTGTCATCCAAGACTGTATCCAGTGGATAAATTAAGTGATTAATGCATTGTTGTCTCATTTTTTTCAATTCCTCTAGTGTAACATTAATTTCCACAAAGTTCCAGGTTCTTGAAGGGTTAATGGCTTCTAATTCTTTCAGTCCTGCCCTACCAGTGATTCTGTCAGGAACATCAAAGCAAGATAAATGAGCACCATTTTTAGCATCAAGATCTTGACAACTTTCTTGAGGACAAAGCAAATCAAGCTTTACTTCCTGGTTGGTATGTTTTTTAGCAGTGCCCTTTTGCTTAGCTTGTTCTTTTATCATGAAGGCTACATTGAGAAGATCAATTGGCTCTTCCAAAGGCACATGTTTATCAGCAAGGGCTGCAATAACCATAGAATCAATGCCACCAGAGAAGAGCACCGCAACATGTGCTTTCCTATTAGACATGCCTGGAACTTCTCTTGTTTTCTGATCTTCATCTCTAAAGAGAGATAAAACCCGTCTCTTCACCGCTTCATTTAAAACATCAATAAACCGACAGACTAATTTTTTCTTGGGTTCCTCTGCAAGAAATCCTTGAAGGGTTTCTACAGAAACTGCATGGATAATGTTGCTAGTATTAGTGCCTGGACATTCACCTAAAGCTTCAGAAATTGTTTTATTTAAGGGGATAACTGGTGCTCTGAGACATAGTTTTGATTCATTCATCACAAGATGTATGTGGTTCGGTAAGTCTTTTGAAACTTGGTCCAGAACATTAAGGAATATTTCTTCTGCTGTTTTCTCTGTGCAGCTGTACTTCCAAGGAAACAATGTTAAAGACAAAGATTTAGTTGTTGCATAAGCTTTGAGATCAATTTTGAAAATTCCAGATGCTGGGACTTCTTGCCATTGGTTACCTGATTCAGAATAAACACTTACAGATGTGAGACAGAAAGCACTGTCAACCTCATTACTGAATTGCCAAAGCAAACTACGACGACCAAAATAATCTCTACCAAACCATAAACTGTGTCTAGAAGCTTGATAATAAATAAAAGACCATGGACCCCGAAGTGATGAAAAGAGTGACAAAATGTCCGCTTCACTACTGCACAAGGCAAGATGATGAAACACTACTTTGGTGTCATTCTCTAGATCTCCTACATGCACACCATTGAAAATTTCCCCATTCCAAAGAAAAATATTGTTATTGGCATCTTCCAGAGGTTGAGGAGTCACCAGTCCTCTCAAGTGAAGTACATGGCCAGAAAACAGACACTCATAAGAGAGATCTGACACAGTTTTTATCAACTGTTGGCTACTGTCTGGTCCTCTTCTTCTAAGACGGCAGAGTATGTCTTTGTTAAAGAAATCATGAATAGCATGCTGGCTACACAAGGTAAGAACGCAACAAATACCACACATTGTGACTTTGAATTCAGATGCACTATTTCTTGATTTTAGCCTTTTCTGAATTTTCCATCTCCTGATGTGCCTTCTTTAATTCATCTAATGTATCTGTGTAAGAGAAAAATACACAAATAATCAGTTTCATAAACTAGTAAGTTTATGAGTGAATTTATGAATAGGTAAGTTTAAGAGCATATGTAAGAAATGAGCAACTCCAGCCACTTGTTCAATTAAAGAGATAAACATGAAACGCTAAGTAACAAAAGTGCTATGTTTGTGTTACATCGATACTATACCACACTGTATCTTATTCCTCTTTAATTATACAAAGATTATGATTTTTTTTTCTCACAAAGAAAGCTACCCTACAAGTATAAGAATTAGGGGAATGGCCAACTGTTGCCTATATAATCAATATGATTTACACATTTGTAATGATAAGAAGAGTGAACTGTCAATTAAAGGGTCAACACTATTAACTCAAATCAAAGGAAAGAAAATGAAAGTAGCAATTGTTCATTGCAGAAAATAAATTTATACTTCTAAATTTATACATTTCTAACACTTGTTCCATCATCAAGTCTCTTTATCATCCGTTCTCCTATCTTCATAATCTCACACATCCATTCTTTCAACTACCTAAAGATTTCTATCTTAACCTCCAGTTTAACTTGTCGTTATTGTCTTCCCACTCATCCCATGCAGTTTTTAGACTTTTTTTTGGTTGGGTTTTTTTTAAGGGACGAAGTGCTGTACAGCTTCCCAAAGGGCACTGAGAATAGTGACTCCTTTGTTGGGCAGATGTTCTCCCTCTTCCTACACCTTCAGCACTTGCTCTTTTATCACATCCATGTATCAAGTGGAAACACTTTTACATTTATCCAATCGAGAAAAACAAGCACTGTCTGAAGTCTACTTTGTATTTGATACGCAGTTGACAGGTTTTAATTTTGATATACCTTTGAAATCATTAACAGCTACAAATACAGCTTTTAAATAGTTAACTACTTGATCAACTTTTACACTGCAAACTTACTTTTGCATTGAGATAGTGTTTCTGTTCGGTCTACAAGGAAGAATATGTTGCTATTGGGTTGCTGCCTATAAACTTTCTGTAAAACAAAACCAACACTGCGTTAAGTCAAAGCAACAAAGTGTGGCAACCACACTGCAACAAAAGCTGATGTAGGTCCACCAAGATACCCCTTCACTTTTATGACAGAAGGATAAGTTCTGCCTTGACAACACCAACATTCTAATGTTGTACCACCAAAAACATTTCATGGTCAACCAATGACTATTCTGCTTTTCTCTTTTCCTCATACATGAGGGATCACATTCTATTTTAAAACACATACACATGGAAGGTAAGAATACTTCATAAAGTCTTCTGATCAACTCAAACATCTTAACAAAGTAACTCTGATAAAACATAAAAAGGCAAAAACCCCCACAAGGTACTGTATTTCACTGCACAAGTGTACATAATCAAATAATTTGGAGGACAAATTATTCTGAGAATAGCAGACAACGTCTGTATTAAAATCCGTATTAAATTAAAAGACAGCGTGCTCTGATTTTGCTTCCCCTTTTGTCTCTATGCTTATTTCTCTGATGCTAAAATTACATAGTCAAAAGCAAATTTGTAAATACTTACCCGGTTCTTCTTCAAATTAGAAAGCTCATCAACTACAACCTTCTGCTCTTTAATCTGAAAGGCAAAAGATGCACTTCAATTTAATAATTAAAAATAAACTACTGTATTGTAATCCTGGTGGTGAACACACTGATATTTTAAGACAGCTACATGCATTTATAGTTGCTGTTCTCCGAATGGACCGTTAAAGACAAAGTGGAAGTAGATATAAAAATGAAACACTTAACTTTCTAAAAATAGGTTATCTTGCATAGATTGATATTTTCTCCTACCCTCAAAAGCAATCACCACTGGGAAGCCAGAGTACCTCTAGCTATTTATAACCAGAGACCACATTTTTCCCCCAGAAGAAAAGAAAACATGCACACAACTAATAAAACATCAAATAACTTTAGAAAACAAAATTTAACATAATATCTACAATACTTTATATTACAGGTATTCTCCAGATTCAAAATGAAACCACTAAAACCCCCAAGACCCCTAAAACTGTATTAAGAGCAACAGAGGCCTTTCCATTGCTCCGGAGTTTTGCACGAACTTCCTTAGTGGGATTTACCACTCTGGTCAACTGCACTGGCAGAAGTGGCAGGTATTCCCATTTGCTTTTACAGCAGCAGCTACAAATGCCAAAGAACAATCAGGAGGACCATCATAAAAGCTAAAAATAGAACAAAATCTGGTCATCAGGCACTTAATGCTTTTTGCTAGAAACAAACAATATGGTTTTCTTCATTCTTCCTTTGTGTCTCCTAGAATTGGTACAACAGCAGAAAGCTGCCACAGAGCTAGGTTAGCCAAACTGAACATGGCCTACAGAAAAGACAACTTTTCCAGCAGCTACATTAATGTCTTATATTTACAATTCCAGCAGTGTCATCTCTTGGTACAGACTAAACCAGCCACTTTAGCACAACAGAAATTACAACCTGCAATGCTTTTATGTCCTAGCTTTACAGCTTCCCAGGCAATCAAAGATACCACTGACTTTACCCAATACTGCCATATGTCATTTTTTGAGGGAAAGCAGTTCCATAGGACTTGAGAGATTTCACACTAAACAAAGCTATTGGCACCAGAGCAAATCTGGGAAAACAGAGCAGATTTATGAGGAGTGCGAGCCTCTATGACTGAAATCCTTTAGGACTTTTTGAGTAGATAGACCTGAAGCAGATACTACTACAGAGAAAAACCTCACTGCGACTCACCTGACATTTCGAGCTCAACTTGGAGCAGTAAGAACCCCCAAACCCCAATCTGACAAGAGAGCTAACGGTGGCGCCGACAAGAACTGGCTACACGACAGAGGCTCTCCTCCGAGCCCTACAACGCAAACCCCGCACCACAGGAGCCCCAGCTTCCCGACAGGACGCGCCCTCCGCTTCCTCACGCTGATCACGCCCGAGGTTACAGGCTTCGCGGGGCCGCCGCCGACCCCCCGCCCGTCGGCAGCACGGCCCTGGATGTGCCTCAGCCCGCTCCACGCAGCCGAGAGCGCCGCGGGGATACCGGGGGCGGGGACGACGACACGGGGCCGCGGCCTCAGGCGCCGCCGTTGGCCGCACCGCGGCCCTCTCCCTCCTTCCCTCCTTCCCTCCCTCCCTCCCTCCCTCCCGGCAGCAGGCCGCCTCAGCTCACCCCCCGGCTCAGCTCCTCCTTGCGGCGCAGCTTCGCGCTCTCCCCCTCCTCCTGCCGCGGCGCGCGGCCCGACATTCCCCTCCCCCCGGCGCGCGCTCCGCCGGGGACCACGCGCACAAACCCGGTAACGGCAGGGGGGGGGGGCCGGCCGCCCCCCCTGCCCTC